TGTGGTCTGCGTGGTGGCTTATCACGAGCCCTGGCTACCAGGACAGACCGAGGGAACAGAAGAAAACATGTCGTCATTCAGTCGTTACTTGCAGACTGGCACTCACTTGGATTTCAAATACACAGGTGGATCTGAACGGCGTCTAAACTAATGTACCCGTTTAAATAGTAACATCCAAAGGAGGGTGTGATATATGAAACCTGTATGGATTCAGTGTAGACAGTCATTTCTCTAATTCCATACAACATACAGGTGGGATGTACTTGCTGACTCTGAACACATTTCAAGGACCCAAGAACAATGACTTCTATGCCTGGCATTTTTGCGTGCAAAATCTTTATGAGACAATTTGCAAAACCATATAGGGCAACAGAGTCACTTATAGGAGATTTTGCACATACACAGAAACACACCTGGATAGTGTTTATTTCATAACCAAGTTGGATGAGATTTCAAATTTGTAATTCTTCTAATAGTATCACAGAGTTAAATGAAGTCACTTTCCTTGAGAGGCACCATGTTTCTGAGAAAAGGCAGCTCAACCCACAAAGCTTTGTTTCTAGAAAATTGGCTGGAACTAGAAGGAAACTATAGAGACAACATTCGACCTTATCCACGGGCACCAAGTTCTAACAGATCAGCCGTGAGAGAGCAGAGTGAAGGCTGCCTGAGCTCCCGGGAGATGAAGAATCTGAGGGTGGCAGGAACGTCTCCCAGAGCTGCCAGATGAGTTCTTTAAACCCGATTTAGAGCTGTGCTATATTTTTCTCTGGATGGTCAGAGAAAACCAGGTTAAATACCTTGATTTCAGGGCAACCAACTGTTTAAAGCTTTCATGATCAGAGGGCTGTGTTGAAATTTTGTCTCTTAGTCACTGAATATGTTTTCTCCTTAAATGTTTATTTTGTCTTTCCAGAGAGTCAAATGCACCTAAGCTGAATGCTGTGCATCGACCCTGGGACATGCCTCACATTCTTCTGCTAGTGATTTCCAGGAAAACTGCATTCATTAAAGTGAACACAGGTGTATGATCAAACGATAACCTTGCTTATTCTCTGCAGCTTGGGTGAATGCCAAGGTGAAAGGTTTTAATACAAAGAATAATTAACCTGTCACCTGAGCAGCCCTGCTGGTTCAGCACTCCCTCCCCAGGCACACGCTCACGAAAAGACAATGGAGTTGTAGCTCCCTGATTATTTGGGCTAGAAACAGGCCTGCCCACGAGGGCCCCACCCTGCACTGAGAAGGGTAGCACCCCAGCATGTGAAAGTCTGAAGTCACCTTCGATCTGATGAATGACCTTAGATTTCATCTAAAAAAGTATTTGTTTTATAAACAAGACAATGGTGGCTAACAGGAGACCCTGCCACGACGTCAGCAAGAGGGTACAGTAGGCATGGCGCCTGCCTCGGATCCAGGCTTCACTCCCTGTGTCCGGTCAGCCATCAGTCTGGGGCAAAACAGAAGGGATAGCCCTTTCTGGCTAAGATGCCCCCTTACTAATGCTGCAAAGTGTTCCCATGAGTCCTCACTGTGACCTGAGGTGCCCCTCGGTTCATCCGCATAGGGGTTCCGGAATGGAGGCAAGACAAGAGTCTTTCCCCACTGCTACCAAGATCCAGCATAGTTTGGAGTCTTGTGCACAATGAGAGAAATATGCTGGACATCTTAGAATCTCTATGGAAATTAAATCCTGAGACTGCAGGTGGTGAGGGTCTCTCGGATCGGTCTCAGCAGGTGGGAGGTCACAGAGCACAGCAGTGCAGTGTCACAGTGTGATTTGACTTCTGGGTGGCAGGACATTTTCAGTCTTCTAACAAGACACCAAGGGGCCCACTCCACCTCCATCCTAAATCCTCCCAGGGGCTGAAGGCATGTTTTTACACTTTCCATTTGTAGTGTGTTTCCCACTCAGATATTTAAAGTAACTCCTTTATTCCATTTTCTAATAAGCCAATCAAGTGAGTATTTCTTACTACTCCTGCATGAACATCCCCCAAAATATCAAATAATCATCAAAGGAACTAACAAGAAACTCACTGTGTTAGACACAAAATATTAAAACATTTTTGTCCCCAAGGGAAAGAGAAGTAAAGGATCCATAGAACAATTATATTCAGTAAAACAGAGCATTATTTTGCATTTATTTTTCCCGGAAAAAAAAAAAAGCGCCGCTGGTTTCAAGGGGAGAATACCTGTTCTTCTTCTAGAAGAATCAGACCTACGACCACGATATTGATGTTTCCTCCGATTGTTCCATCTTTGAACAAAGCAGACACCTGAAAAAGAGAGTCCGCGTCAGTCCCTGGATGAGGTCCCCTATCCCCGCAGCGCTCGGCCCGGAGTCCACGGCTGAAGGCCAATCCCGTGTTCCTCAGTGACGTGGCAACGTTGCTTCTTACACTGCTACACAGACAAGTGTGTGACTCTCTAACAGCCAATTCCATCAACTGTTGGATCCTTGTCACTGGTGCCTGGAAGTACAGTACTGAAGTTTAGGGAGGAAGGCTCCACTCCTTATCAAGTATCAGTGAAGAGCTTACATGGGAAGTGTCACTGGAATAGAAGGAGGTTTCTTTGTTTGTCTCATATTGATAATACACAAGCGCGCAGTACCCAAGCTCTCCTAGCAAAAGATTCCAGAAGCATAAGAGACGTTTTGGGACAAGACCAAGAGGAGACAAGAAAGAGCAGGAAAACAACATGGAAAGAAGGTGACCAAGGCTAGGAGCAGACGTTAGAGATGACAGTCACGGTGGCAGTGAGTGATCACAGTGGCATCCGGGGTGATGAGCGAGGCCAGGCCGACAGTGGAGGGAAGTGATGGGGAGTGACCCGACACCAGGGTGCAGAGCTACTGAGAAAGCTCTGCAGAACAAGGGCGATCCTTGCACAAGGTGGAGACGTGCACTGGTGGCCGCCTCCGTGGGACCGTCTCCCTTGGGGTCCTGAGAGATCGATCATAAACCACGAGGGTCCAGCCGCCGAAAACGATGCCAGCCATACCAGCCCTGCCGAGTCAGGGAAAAGAAACACATCCAGGGGCTCTCCGTTTATCGAGGGGGAATGTAAAACATTTTTAAAATATTGTCATCACATGTATTTTTAGAAACACACTTTGGTGGCCCAAGATTTTGTCCTCCGTTGTGTAGATTTCACTTAGGCGAAAAGGGGCTTGGGTACCCCTGGTCTCTATTCAGTAATTATCACAGGTGCTGAATAGAGACACGGCCACCTTTCACCTGCACTGATATTCTGAAGGGTGTCCTGTTTCTTGTTCTTGTAGATAAAACAATGTACATTCAATATTTGAACATTAATATTCCTAAAATGGTGGGTATTTCTATACAGCCACCTAAAATCACACATAATGCTGCCACGCAGGTTTCTGCACCCAAACGTCTCAGCGTCCTCGCACAGATTTCCAGTGAATGAAGACGTCGGTAAACTCGAAATACGTTACCAGGTTACAGACAGGGTCAAATTGTCCGTCCTCCTAATTTTATTCTCTGAAGGTCTGAAAATGGCTTTTCTGATTGGAGGATAGTAAAAGGGGTTGTCACAGATAAAATACTTCTTGTGTTCGAGACACAAATCCACAGAGAGAGTAGATGTAAAGCACACACACGCTCCCCGAGGGCGGAGTCCCGCACGCGACCTCCACGCGCACGCTCCCCGAGGGCGGAGCTCCGCACGCGACCTCCACGAGAAGGCAGCCCCTACCATGTTGAGTATGGTCAGGACGTAGGTGGTGATGTTTTCGTGGCCGTGGTTTTGCGTCATCTTTCTGTCAACCACCACCAGCGTCTCCACGTTCAGCTCTTGGTGCCGGTGGGACTTGAGGAGGGAGCGCCTGTGCCTGAAGCCGGCCCCGTACTCGTCGGGCAGGGTGAAGAGGTCGTCCTCGGGAGGCCTGGGCATGTCTGCGGAGGGAGGTTGGAAGAGGAAATGAAAGGCAAAGCTGCCGCGCAAACCCGGCGGTGGAACTCGTGATACAGCAGTTGGATTTGAAAACCTTTATGAAACTGTCGACTGACATGAAATGCACGACCTGAAAGTCGAGAGTTGCGTTTTACCCCGCGGACGTTTCTGAGGACTCGAGTCTGGATGACAGCCTCCCAGGTCACTCTGAGGGACTGCTCTGAAGAGGCAGGGAGGGGCCAGGATATGTAGGAGCTTTTACAACAGAGACGGTAGTTGGGACATCAAAAGATTACTCTTAATTAAAGGAAGCCAGACATCTCAAGTTAAGGAATTCAGCGCTTCTCTATGTATGGAGGGTCCAAAGTTCTGGGCTCATTGAAGTCATTCCTTTGATGAGCACCTAGCTATCCAGGGCCAGTCTCCTGTTCTTTCCCATCCTGAGTCCCCTCACGGGCACTGTTGTAGGGGCTGCAGAGGCCGGGCAACCTGCTGGTCTCCATCCCGAGTTCCCTCGGCTCACTGTCACGGGTGGTGATAGCGGCTGATGACTTGGTGGCCGCGCTTCCTTTGTTTACTGATACAGCTAGAAATATTTTTCACTTACAATACGAACCATAAAATCCCTTTAAACTGTGATGCAAATCTTACGTTAAAGTGGAACACTAAATTTAAATAAAGTTTGCATAGTCTAGATGTCATGGAATTCACGGTTGTGTGAACCTTTGTATAAATTTGTCCTGATTGAAAACAGAAAGAGGGTCCCTTTGGCTCTGAAGTCCTAGCATCTAATAGCACAGCACTCAGTGACCGTGAACAGCGGGTCTGTGGAACAGGCCCCTGCAGAAGAGTTACTGGCAAAGCGGCGACACTGACGATTACAAAAAGGAGAGCCATCTTACACTGTGTTCTAAGTGGAAGCCTTATAAGACCGAAGAATTTTTAAAGTCGCTTCTCATGTCTGGACGCATAACTGGTTTGTGTGTAGTGTGTCAAGTGAGTTATAAACTGATCAAGACAGACAACCTCACTGCAGGGCTGGATTTCCTAGAGAGTGTCATAAACGTTTACCTAATGTAGCGCGAAGACAAAACGTCCTCCGTCCTCCTGGAGTAAACCATTTGAAACGAGATTGGGCATTTAGAGTCAGTGAGTTAACACTGGGTTAGAAAGGACGGTTTAGTGCATGCCTCAGAAAATGTGGTTACAATCGTTTCACGTGAAAGTAGACTTTAAAAGACCCGCTAAATATAGCACTAGGTCAAATGCGAAGCCAACTCTACTCACGGAACACGCTGCTGGGAGATGCCGTCCTGGGTGACTGGTACCCAGGCCCTTGGCCTTTTATCACTCTTCGCTAAAATGCTTCCAAACCCAAATGAGCCTTTTGGAGGATAACAGTGAAGTTTAACAAGCACTCATCATGCACCGTTTACATCAATGCAATTTCCACAGACGTGGACTCTACCCTAAGAGATGTCTGTGTGTGACTCACTCAATCTCTACACCAGCCCTGGGTAGGAGTGAGGCCTTGGAGGTTCAGGACAGAAACACAACTTTCTTGCAGCCTCTCCCTAGAAAGCGGATTTCAGATCCGGCAGTGTGGTCCCAGAGCCCTTAGTCTTAATTCCCTCGGTGCTGTGAATGAAACATATTTCCAGCCACATAGTAAACACAGGACGCTGCAGCCTTCAAGTCATCAGTCGCTACCGCCACTCCGACAGTGAGCAGAGGGAATTCAGGACGGACACCAGCAGGCAGCCTGGCCTCTGCTGCCACCCCCACGGTTCCCCTTGAGGGGACTCAGGATGGGAAAGCACAGGACACTGGCCCCAGACAGCTAGATGCACATCAAAGGAGTGATTTCAGTGTGCCCAGACCTTTGCACCTTCCCATACACAGAAAAGTGCTAAATTCCTTAACTTGAGCTATCTGGTTCTCTTTAATTAACAATAATCTTTTGATGTCCCAACTACCTGGTCTTTGTTGTAAAACCTCCTATATATCCTGGCTCCTCCAGCGCCCGGGGGAGCAGCCTCTTAGAGTGACCTGCAAGGCTGCCTCCTGGGCCCGAGTCCTCAGGAAGTGCACTGAGTAAAACTTAACTGTCAGCTTTCAGGTTGCGTGTTTTATTTTGGTCGACAGTGGAAAAGTGTGTGCAGGGTGAAAGTGAACACGGCAGCCTCCCAGGCCCCCGGAAGGGACAGGGGCAGGAGCACCAGGGGTGGGGATCTTACTGGCTGGGCCTCCGACAAGCCCCTCAGAGCAAGCCAGACACCCCTCAATAAGGTACTGCAGCATTTTCCCCAAACTTGCAAGTCCCAGTTCAAAACCCATCTGTGAGTTTAAGCAAATCAACCTGCCTTTGTCTGCCCCTTTCCACAGAGAAATGCCTGAACACACAGAAACATCTTCCATCTTCTGAACCAGAAAATAGGGAAGAATCTTTGACAGAAGACCAGGACTTCTCTAGGGAAGTCCAAAGCCTCATAGACAACATGGAAATATCCTGCACAGATAACGGGGGCCTGAGAATTAAACTCTCAGCCAGGAGGTGATGTGGGTCAATTCTGCTAGCACATGTCCCCAGCCACTGGGTCCAGGGTACAGATCTGCCATGTACCCGGTAGGAGGGGAAAGAGACTATGGCAAGTCAACAGCACCAGACTGACCACCGAAGTTGTCCACCAGCAAGAGGTATCTTATGACACTTTTCCCCATTTTTCATAATTTTGTTTTATTATGAAAACAATGGTGACATTTTCCCATGTTCTAAACACAAAACTTATTGTTCAATTTAGCATCTTTTTCAAATAACTGCCTCTCATCAACCAACCCCCACTATCATGATTCTGAAACACTTCTGGAGGCAAATACACCAAACACATGTGCACGTGTGCCCTGCAGACACAGCTGTGCCCTAGGGCTACTGGCCTGAACGACTCTGGTCACCTCCAGATAGGAATGAAGGAGGGGCCCATTCATTCCAGAATCGTCAGCACTGCTGGATTTCTCAGGGCCACTAGAGCATTGGCTTCAGGCCCTGGTGTGACCTGTCAAAGAGGACAGCCCTGCCCATCTTTCCTGCCCAGATCCAGATGCTTGCTCAACTTTCTGTCCCCAGCACATAGAATCTGTCCCTCTCTGACCACGTCCTCACCAGGAGCTCTGTGGGCACCGTCCTGGCTCGGACCTTCTCTCTGCCTGGCCCCGCCCCTCCCCGGCCCCGCCCCTCAGCCCCGCCCCTCAGCCCCTCCCTGCCCGGCCCAGTCCCTTGGCCCCTCTTGCTTGAGTCCCACCCCTCCCTCCCCTCCCTGGCTGGCCCCACCCCTTGCCCCTCCTCCTGCTTCTCGCTGTCGGAGCTGCGTCAGGGAGCTGGTGCTGGGGGGGTCAGTGTGCCCTGCTGTGACGCCCACTCAGCCTGTCTCCCTGACCTTCTCAGCCTCCTGTCCCTCTCCTTGCGCTCAACACGGTGCTTCCTGCTGCCGCCCCTAAGACCCAGCTCATTATCGGTCAACTTGGGTTGAGTTTTTCAAGTCCGTTTGAATGTAGCCTGAGACTTTTCTTTATTGGACGATATGAGTTTAGATGACACACAGGTGCTGACAGTTCAACAGAACTTACTCTTTTGTCGCTGATGCCAAGTGATTCCGGGCCATTCTCTCTGCTCCGCAGCATTTACGGGCCCCGCATGTACCTACCCCTATGTTAGGGTGCTGGGCCCAGCAGCCAACACCAAGCAGCAGAGAAAGATGGGGCTTGGGGAACGTGGGCTTCCCAGAGGCTCCTTGGGAAAGTTTTACCAAATGAAGCAATGCTTACAGCGAAAGCTGAAGGAAGTGAGGAAAAGTCTAGAAAATACTGAACTCCTATTCCTGAGTTTGTGACAGATTCTTACCTAAAACGTAAATGTCACATCACTTTCTAAATGTTCAGGACAAAACAAAACAGACTTCAATATAGCCTTGGTGATAAACTGCAGGTGAATTATGTCAAGGGTGCTCTGTCTTCTGACGTGGTGGAGTGAAGTGTGTAAACCTGCACGGGGATAATCACCTCACCAGGAAAAGCGTGTGTGCTTTCATAAATCTAGACCTCAGAAATATAGAATTACTGGGTAGACGTGCCAGGGTTCTTTTGAAGACATTTGGAGGATTTTGCGCTTCCAAGCACTGTGTCATTTAATTTGCAGGGAACAGCTCTTAAAAAAAAAATCTACCCATCTGCCATGGAGAGACGTTTTATGCAACGTGCAGGTGATGGACGAGATGTCTCTGGAATCATCGCTCACGTTTAGCAAAGGCAGTCAATACATTTCAGCGGGAGGGCAGGCTACTTTGAAGAAAATGAGACACTCTACCGGCTTACGTGAATGCCCGAATCGTTACGTGCACAGAAAGAATCGCCCTTACATACATTTCTTGCGTCTCCCACAGAAATGCTGCTTCTGGGGGTGCCCGAGGCGGAAGCCGTGGCTCAGGGGCTGGTCCTCGCCGTGGAAGGGGCGGCGGTTTTCCAGCTCCCACCGCTTCTCCATCCTCACGGCCTGAGGGGCCCCCCGCGCCCGCGGCTCCGTGGATCGCTTGTACAATATGTGCGAGGCGGGCGCACCCCCGGCCGCGGCGTGCAGTCTCCCAGCCAGGTGCGCAGGCAGCGGCTTCAAGAAGTAATCTGCCTCCTGAGTTCTTATCATGCCTGACTGCAAAGAGAGAGAGGGGGAGAGAAACGCGCATCACTGTTGTATTATTTGCTCACAAACATGCTGTTTCCCCAGTAGCAGCGCACGCTGAAAGGGCAGCCGTGGGGCTGAGAATCCGGCATCCCGGAGCCCCTTCCATCAGCATCCTTGTCTCCAGAACAGAGAGCGCGCGCAGCATGCTGAGGTCGGTACTTTAAACCAAATAACAGAGGAGAAAGCGCACACCCAAACCCTAGGTGTGAATATGGGTGTGCTTTGGTGGGGGACAGTCCCAAATAAAGAGATAAAATTATAATCCTCACATAGTAACTTGCAAAACTATTCAAACTTAAACATAATGTGACACTTTCTATAAAAGTGCAACTTAACAAAATTAATCCGGAATAAGGCACCAAAGAATTTCTTTGGGAATCAGGGAGGTCTTTCTTGGCAAGACATTTGGTAAATAGGGAAGAACTGACTTTATAAAAACACGAAAAATGTCTGTACTGCGTAACAGACAATGAACGTTCAACAATGATAAAAATATCTTAAAGGAATACAAATTAAGAGACTGCTTTTTACCTTTTAGGGTGACGGGTACTTTTAAAACTTGCAATTCCTCAATATTGATAAATATTTGTGAATATATATTGAATCATTGTGTGTAATTGTATAAAATTCAAGTATAACAAAAAATAAGAAAAGAAATAATTTAAATGTGTACCAATTAATTCAGGGTAATTTTTTAAAGTTGTATTTATATATGTGGAGTGTTGCATAACCATTTAAAAAAGGTCAGCTAATTAGGTACTGATGATAATCATAATAAAACTTTTTGTGTGTGAGTTCCTAAGACTGTGGTCAGCATTTTCTATGTTACACTTTATTTATCACTCACAGCAGTTCTGTGAGGTGGGTATCATTACGCGCCTCCTTTAATGGGTGAGGAAAAGAAGGAGGGTGATTAACAGTTTCAAGGTCACCTGAAAAGAAGTATAAGGATTTGAACAAAATCAGAATACCTTCAAAACCTGTAAGTATAAGGCTCAGGCTGTAGGGTTCCCAGAAGTTGTTAAAAGTTTTTAAAGTGTTTAATAAAGTGTCTAGTGTGATCCCCCATGTGTTCGCTTTTATAAGGGTGCCTCTACACTGAAAGGTCTTTCCTGGAAGGGCTGATGAGAACCTGCTGACGGTGGTTATGTTCAGGGAGGGAAAATCGAGGAGCAGGGATGCAGGAGGGGACTCCACCTTCATTTCTACATCTTTAGGCATGACTCAAGTCTCTAAAATCTGTGTGCATCCTTGCTTTAAAAATACGAATGGCATTGCTGGATCGTGGGATTACAGGTGAAATTTAAAATTCTTATAAGTGTTTTAAAGTACCTTTTTAATTTTCGAATGCAAGTAATCACTTATATAGAACTATCCAAGTATCACTGAGAACTCTTCAATACAATGTTTTAAATGTGCTGATTTTTTTCAAGGCTTTCGTTCATTTGGCACACTGATTAGACACTTATTAAGCACTCAAAGACTCTGATGCTTGGGCACCTGTCCTAAGTGTGCCTCTGATTCAGGAGCCCAAGTCTGATTCTCCTTCGGGGGCGCTTCATGCCCCTCACTGCCCGTCAAAGAAGATTCTGTGGTGGGCTGAGTGGTCCTGCGGGAGTCTGAGGATGCGTGCAGAGTGGGGTCACAGGCATGGGTAGACACTTCTCAGATCTTGGGAAAGGGCCAGCGCGACTCTCAGGGATGGTGGGGGGCGCGGGTTGGGGCAGAGAGATAAAAGCAACGGGAGCCCAGGCTTATCATGTGTTCAGAGATTGAGCACTGGACGTTGTGTTCCTGCTGACGGAGGGGAGGGAAGAGAGGTCACCTCAGTATGTTATCAATGAAGCCATCAGCACCACAGGGGGTAGACCTCCCGGGGTCCAGATGCCAGCTTGCAGTGGAAAGGGAGAATACTTGGAATTCATGTCCTGGATTGAGGTGGAGGAGGAGGAGGAGATGAGGGGGCGCTGTCATGCAGTGGATGACCATGGATGACCCGGGAAACTTTTTGGTCTAGAATTCTATGAACTAAACTAGGATAGCTAATACTTTAAAGTCTGCAGTTCTATCAAGGAAGAGCCAAGTATGGAATTAAATAATCGCTAAAGCAGGATGTGTTCAGCCTTGTGTGATAACACCACCCAGGGAGGTTCTGCACACTATTAGTGGTAACTAGTTAGAATGTTAAACTAAAAAAAATATTTTTTGCTTAAAAAAAACCTTTTCTGATATGCAAGCAATTCCTTGCTTTTCAAATAACTCTTAAAAGATGGCCAGCTTCACTAAGTTCTCCAGAGGAAGGTGAGGTTGAGCATTCAGTGTGAGCCTGGGGGACCCCCAGAGAAGAGATGAGTCAGACACCCCGCTTTTACCATCGATTCCAGCGTTACCATCTTCGGGGCTCTGGATGATTTCCTCATCCCTCCGTGATGCTATATCACCGAGGAGACGGATATAAAGACCGCCCCTTGCCATGAGTTTGTAAGACTTAACAATAACATATTTTAAATACATAACCTACAGAAAACGACCGACGAGATCTGCTGCATGAATGACACCAAGAGTGTCAAATACCATCATTCACCCCGATGACCTCTGGCTCTCTTCTGATAATGCAGGCATTTCTGGGGGATTTTTCACGGTGCAGAATGAGATCCCTCTGAAGCCCGTGTTCTGGTGTGCCCCAGCACCACCATCACCCCACACACGTCCTTGCTTCTGGCCCGCAGCCTCACTCACCTTTTCTGGCTTCGTCCCCTGAAACACTTGCATTCTATGACAGCTGTTCCAGACTCAGAACCGCCCCCTACTTTCCCTCAGGTTCAAGGCTACATCCTGGGTGGCCCAGAGGATCAGACCCTCAGGCAAGAATGATCCGCCACAGCTGGAGGAATTCTGAATTTTCATTAACAAAGTAGTCAAGTGTTAGGCTTGTTTCCTTTATAATTTAGTCTGAAGTACAACATTCTATATTTAAAGAATCCCCAATGTCATTGACTACATAGAGCATACTAACGGGGAGGCTGATATTTTGCTATCCCTTGATAATCAACAGAAAATGACAAATGCAAGAAAAAAGCGACTCCATTGTCTGGCTGCATTACTAGTTTGCAAGCTTATTTAAATGATTAGGTAAATCATGGGAGATTAATGTCTTCTCCTTATCAAAGGTTTTCTTTACTGAATCAAGAAGATTTACTCCGAAGCTCATAAAATGTCTGGCAGACACCTGCTCGCAGGAATCATGGGGAGGTCGGCTGGGTGGATTATTAACCAGACTTCAGAAACGGCCAGCGTCCCCCAGCCGGTGCAGGGGAGCTCTCCAGGCGCCTGCATCTCTCTCATCTCCAGTTCTGTAAATCATTGGACACTGGGAAACTCAACACTCATACTGCATTTATAAGGGAAGAAAGAGTAGGTGCCGTGTCAGTGCTGAGAAACCTGCTTCTGGCAACACGAGTAAAGAAAATACTGAAACTTGAAAGTATGATGCTTACAGTATTATATCTGCTGTTATTCACACTTGGAAGTTGGTAGATTCTTATCAATGGCTATCTGTTTATAAAAGCTGTCCATGAAAGTTGCATGAATCAAAAAATCAAATGAGTATCAGAAAGAGGTAGATAAATGCCCAACCACCGAGCCTGCTTCTCCTGCAGGGTAAGAGATTCCCCACTGAACTGGCTCGAAGCTTGTCTCAGGTGACACCAGAGAGCCAACCATCAATCAACACAGGGAAAAGTGATCTGACTCTCCAGGAGAAACAGGCACTTCAAGTCTCAATTCATTTCATTTTTATGCTATTCCTTTGTCATTTCCCCAGAAGTGTGATTTGTTTCAGGAATATTGTCCTAGTTCTAGTCTTCCTAGTGATGTTTCTGAAACATAAAACAACTCCACATTTATATAACTTTTATAATTACTTTGTCTCGGGTACCAGCCATGTGGCTGCGTGTTTTGCTCTATTATTCTTATCCTAGTAAAGGACATATGAAATGAGAATTAATATTCTCATTTAAAGGAATGGGACATTGAATGCAAAAATTTGCCCACCATTGTAGAGCTAGGAAGTGGAGTAGCTAAGGTTAAAATTCAGTCTGAATTGCTCCGATATACACACCCTTGCTGCCCACCATGTTGCTTTTTTACGGCTATGATTGGCACGTACCCCTGAAGAATGACACCAATGATAGTGGTCATTGAGAGTGAACCTGAGTTAGTTGTAAATGTATACTGAAACTCTAGGGCTAAAAACAGTTTTTAAAAAGAGTAAAAACAAAACTATAACTGATAGGACAGAAAATAGAATAACATAAAATGTTAAATTAAGACCATAAAAGGCAGAAAAAGAGTAGAAGGGAAAAAACAAGAATAATGAACAAGGGCACCAAAAAACATTAACATGTGCAGTAGCTGTTACTTCAACCACATTAACTTGGAATGTTAATGGTCTAAACGCACCAGTTATGAGACAGAGATTGTCATGGGTCAGGAAACATGACCTAAATATATGCTGTCTACAAGAGACTCACTTTAAATATAAAGACACGTATAAATTAAAAGTAAATGGATGCAAAAATATACCATGATAACACAATCAAAAGAAAGCAAGAGTAGCTATATCAGTTTCAGACAGAGCAGATGTCAAAGTAAGGAAAGCTATTAGGAATTAAGAGGCCATTAAATAATAAATAAATAAAAGAGTCAGCTCTTTAAGGGGACACAGCAATTCTTAACACGTATGTACCTAAGAACAGAGTGCCAAACTACATGAAGCAAAAACTGATAGATCTGAGAGGAGGAATAGGTGAATCCATGATCATAGTTGGAGACTTCATCACTCCTCTCACAGAAATGGACACCTTCAGCAGGCAGAAAATCATTAAGGACACAGTTAAACTCAACAATGCCATCAGTCAGCTGGACATAACTGACTTCCAGACCACTTCATCCAGCAATAGCGGAAC